GGTGCGAATCGCAATTTGTCAGTTAATGTTTTGTGTACGGGTGTCGGCTGTTGTATATAGGCTGTGTATTTAATCATTTGTCTTCATCCTTTTCCCGCAGAAATCATTTGGGTGGATAATATCCCCGCAGTGGCGTCACCGCTGTCTCGTTCCAGGTCGAACGTCATTGAGTCTGTGTGTGCGTTGAGTCCCGGTCGTGTTGTTGGACCTATGCCAACGGACTTTGTCTTAGTTGTGTACAGGTTTTGTGCCTGAAAGTTTGAGTCTTTATTTATGTGTTTTAATTTTGTTTGATTTTTCTATTTCTTTTTCAAATGAGTCTATTTTCTGTGTATAAGCTATATTTATTTTTGGAGTTGGATTATATTTTTTTGTTTTTGTTAATATTGTGAAATCTTGTATTGTTAATTTAGTTACCTTAGTTTTTTGTTGTGATTTTGATTTAAAGTGTATTATTTGAGATTTGTGTAGGTTGTGATCTGGGACGATTCGTATTAATTGGTGTGTGTGTTTGAGTTTTTTTTTCTTTAGGAGCTGCTGGCCTTTATTGACCAGGGTCGATCTCCTCTTTAGACGGTGGTGGTGGTTCTTCATTGTGTGTTGTGGCCTTTGGCATGCACTGGGGTTTTTATTTTGGTATGTGAGTGTGTTATGTAGATTAGGAGCTCTTTCTGGAAAGTCTTTCCTGTACTTTAGGCCGCAGCTCCATGACATTTTGAATGTTTAACGATCGTATAAACCTTTCTGAGTTGATGTTTCTATTTTATTGATTTTATGCTACCTTAATAAAAAATTGGTGTTTGATACCTGTGTCTCCACGTTTTGCTTGCCACTGGGTAGGGGACTTGTGCAAAGTTTACGGAGATTCTTTGGGTGAAATTCCCAAGGTGGCGTAGTCAGGCATTCTTTAATTTTATAGCTTTTATTTAAGATTCTGTTTAAATGTATTTAGTGAAATCTAGCTGGGCCATTCCAGGCCCCGGCCACACTAAGAAAGCAGCATGAAAGACAATATAATGGGATACAGTAGAAGGGGAAGAAATCTCGACGGATGCCTTCATCACTGAAGAGAAAGACAGATGGGGAAGAATCATAAGCAGAGACACTGGAGCTTCCTGTTAAAGGCGATTAGCGCAGCAGTCAGGGGGCTCTTCCTGCCCGCACAGCCAGCCTGCGCAGGTGGGCTGCGCTGTTCGGCTGATGAATGTGATCGCATCGGTCCTCCTCCAGGTATGGGTTTGTTTTTTTATTATACGCTTCTCAGTCATGGAAGCGGTGCGAATCGCAATTTGTCAGTTAATGTTTTGTGTACGGGTGTCGGCTGTTGTATATAGGCTGTGTATTTAATCATTCGGCTTCATCCTTTTCCCGCAGAAATCATTTGGGTGGATAATATCCCCGCAGTGGCGTCACCGCTGTCTCGTTCCAGGTCGAACGTCATTGAGTCTGTGTGTGCGTTGAGTCCCGGTCGTGTTGTTGGACCTATGCCAACGGACTTTGTCTTAGTTGTGTACAGGTTTTGTGCCTGAAAGTTTGAGTCTTTATTTATGTGTTTTAATTTTGTTTGATTTTTCTATTTCTTTTTCAAATGAGTCTATTTTCTGTGTATAAGCTATATTTATTTTTGGAGTTGGATTATATTTTTTTGTTTTTGTTAATATTGTGAAATCTTGTATTGTTAATTTAGTTACCTTAGTTTTTTGTTGTGATTTTGATTTAAAGTGTATTATTTGAGATTTGTGTAGGTTGTGATCTGGGACGATTCGTATTAATTGGTGTGTGTGTTTGAGTTTTTTTTTCTTTAGGAGCTGCTGGCCTTTATTGACCAGGGTCGATCTCCTCTTTAGACGGTGGTGGTGGTTCTTCATTGTGTGTTGTGGCCTTTGGCATGCACTGGGGTTTTTATTTTGGTATGTGAGTGTGTTATGTAGATTAGGAGCTCTTTCTGGAAAGTCTTTCCTGTACTTTAGGCCGCAGCTCCATGACATTTTGAATGTTTAACGATCGTATAAACCTTTCTGAGTTGATGTTTCTATTTTATTGATTTTATGCTACCTTAATAAAAGATTGGTGTTTGATACCTGTGTCTCCACGTTTTGCTTGCCACTGGGTAGGGGACTTGTGCAAAGTTTACGGAGATTCTTTGGGTGAAATTCCCAAGGTGGCGTAGTCAGGCATTCTTTAATTTTATAGCTTTTATTTAAGATTCTGTTTAAATGTATTTAGTGAAATCTAGCTGGGCCATTCCAGGCCCCGGCCACACTAAGAAAGCAGCATGAAAGACAATATAATGGGATACAGTAGAAGGGGAAGAAATCTCGACGGATGCCTTCATCACTGAAGAGAAAGACAGATGGGGAAGAATCATAAGCAGAGACACTGGAGCTTCCTGTTAAAGGCGATTAGCGCAGCAGTCAGGGGGCTCTTCCTGCCCGCACAGCCAGCCTGCGCAGGTGAGAGCAGCCATGCATGCCCACTCTTTCCCTCCCAGTCCGTTTGAGGTAGGCTGCCCAGCAAGACAGAGTGGAGGGGGGCAAGATTAAACGGTGGGAAGATTTTGGAGCCTTATCACTGTTTATTCTTAGATTTCAAAACATGGAGGGGGGTTGGTGAAGCCAAATCCCTGCCGCGCTCATTCCCCTCTGGGTCTCGCTCCTGCTTTCCTCTGCCTGCCAATCATTCCTCTGCCCACGGGGCCAAACGCAGGCCTTTCCAAAGGGGAAGCATTAGCAACACCACTTTGGCTCTCCTCCGCAGATCTGTTTATTCCTGTCTGATGAAAACTTATGCATTTCAATATGATCTGTTTTGGAGGCTATTCTGCTTGGTGAAGACTTCTTTTAAAAGTTATTTACACATTATGAGGTTGTTTTGTCATCATTTGATCTTCCAGCAACTTTCTGTTGTCAACTGTGTTGACCTACAGAGATCACGAAATGTGTGCGTGTGTTTTCAGTGATGGTGTGCACGGCTGTTCAGGGAAATCAGAGCCAGGTGGCAAGTCCTTTGCGAGGGTGACGGTTTGTTTTGCAAGACTGCTCTCACAGATTAGCTTTGATTATGTGTCCAAAAACCTTTTTCTGCTGGACCGCTTTCATCTGTGAATCATCTGCTACTTATCTCAAACAAAATTCATTTTAAATATTAAGAAGAGATCAGATGGACTTCTGAAGTGAAGCTGAAGATAAAAGCAAAATGCATGATCACAATTTAATAAAAACATTAGGCCGATTAATTAATTTCAACGGTAATTCAAACAGCGAATAAATTATATAGGAAAGTGAGCAAAGAACATAAATTTTACAGTACCAACGGAGCTTTTTGAAACTCCGAATTAGTTAAACCATTGCGTCGCAAAATGATTCACGGTTTTGAATTGCTCCAATCGGATCGCATATCGCGAATCATTTGATTCAGATCGGGACTTCAAAGCGCGTAGGCTATCGCGAATCATTTGATTCAGATCTGGACTTCGGCGCTGTTTGCGTGATGTTTTTTATCCCCACTGGAGATAAACATAATTCAGCAGAGGCAGGGATGCGTAGACCCCCCCCATTACTGAAAGAATGACTCTGAGATGCTTCTTTTTAGAGAATTAACCACACACTCTACATCCTGATGATGTACTATGTTATGCTGTATTTAAGACTCATGAATCTTAAATCAGTGTAGTTACTGACTGGATGTTCAAATGACAATGTGTAATTATAGATGCACATATTTTCTCAATAGTTTTTTAAAAGTTATTTGTACAGTAAGATTATTGGAGCATTTTAGATTTTAGAAGAAAATACTATTTCAGTCTTTTTACTTCAACACGTTTCCAAGTTTTATTCAAAGTTTCTTGCAGTTTCTTTGTAATTATTTGTGAAATTTACTTGCAATTTTCTTTAACTGTTTTTCAGTGTATAAATATTCATGAATGAAATGTTACCATATTTATTTTGTTTGTTTAGTATTGTTATTTAATATATGAAGAGTTCCCATCAGAAATTTTCATCTAAAATTAGCATTTTTATCCGGCTCCTATGCTTAGGTTCAGTAATTTTACTTTAATGGCAATGTATAGGTCCTTTTCTGTGATATTAAAATGAAATAGCAGAACATAAATATAGCACAAATACTTAGAGGCTTTTGCATCTGAACTCTTCATATACAGCATAGTTTAATTTATATAGTTATATATACACTCGCAAAACATTTATTTCTCTATTTTAAATGTTATATATTATTGAAACTATCACATAAATTGCAGATGGATTTGCATTTTTTCTTCAAATATTTATTCCTTATAAGTACTAAAAGATTTGCTAATGAAACAGTTAACAAATCAGAACCTGAATTTCTATGAGGAATCACATCAGGAACCAGAATTGTTAAATTATTCAACATATCCCTAGTCCTGGCTTACTTGATTCTGTAGATGAGATAAGACACGACTAAAGAAAAAATCTTTACCAAAAGTTGTTAAAGTTTACTCAAAACTTTAACAACTTAGTGGTTCCACTAAGCACTGGTTTGGACTTACATTTTCAAGCACACAAATATATATATTTTTGGAAATTGCATTCAAAATCCACTTGGCTCAAAAATCTGAACGGTTTGAATGGGCATGATGCTTCTGTATCCAGCCATTCTTCGGGTGAACATGTTGAACAGAGCTGAAAGTCTCTGAGAGAGGGTGAGATGATGCACTGGATTGATTCAGGTACCGTATGTGAGTCAAAGCCCTGCAGGCTTACAGCCTCCACAATAAGAACAGGCCTCCTTTGCCAGAGTCTCCTTGATCTTCTCAGCCCCAGGTCTACTGCACTAGGAGGCCACAAGCCCTGAACCCACCCTAACGATTGCATTTGTTTACCACCGCTACTGGATGAAAGCATCCGCTTAACACTGACGAAGACCTGCCGTGAAGTTTCCTCTCAGGTCTGAACGCAGAATACTCCAAACCTCCCACAGCCCCTCCTCTTCCCCAGGCCCGGCTACCAAAAATAGCAGCATGGTGGAATGGACTGTGACCCCCTCACCCTGCAGTGTTAGTCTCGGTTATGGTGCAGATGCCTTTTCCCCCTTCAAAGGGTTGCTAATGCTTCCCTTAGGATCAGACCCAAACTGTGCAGAATGTCCTCTTTCCTCCTTTTTTTTTTTGCTGCACATTTCTCTCTCACACTGTCTCTTCTAGTCTTTCTCCTTCGCTCGCCTCCTTCCTCTCTGTTGCTGCCAGGGGGCAGAGAAATAATTCAAACTCAATGCATATTGCAAGCGCTTTGGTCAGTGCTGCAGCGGGCGAGTAATGACACATTAGTTTAGTGAAGTGACCAGGCCGCCTCATGCTCCATAATAAATAGCTGGGGTCTGAAACAAACTTCGCCCGGGTCTGCCATGCATGCCTTCAGAGTATGCGGTACTTTAAAGGAATTTTCAACACACAAAGATGACAAAAAAGAGGAATGGGGAAAAAGAAGAAAAAGAAATAGCATCCCTTTAGGTAACAGAATGATTTCTGCATTGTTTAATATTTAATCACCTTGCCTTCCAACATTCAGATTTAACAAAATTCTCACAAGAGCTGGAAAAAAACATTTGTTGTTCTGGAGAACAAATTAATGCGGGTGATAAAAGGAGATGCAGAGGCCATGTGTTTTTTTCTTCTTTTTTTGTTTTTATTATCTACCTACAGATCCTGGATTCTTTTGTTTCGAGGTTGGATGAGGTTGTTGGTCATTTTGCAGTTTTGTCAGGCGCTTTTTTCCCTCAAGGTGTACCTTTATTTGGAGTGCATCCTCAAATCTGTGTTTGTTTTCCACATAATGCAAAATCTCATTAACGCATATTTTTTTGACCCCTGACACCAGCACCAATTTGAAACAGAATATTTTTTTGTTTGGAATATTAAGCTAGCACCTTCAGTTATATGAGTGATACAATCAAGTTAAAGTCACTTTTGGAGCTTTTGAATCTTTGAATATGACTCTTGCTTTTGGCTTACCCTGCAGTACTACGGTTAGAATGACTGAACCTCATAAGAAAACTGATGTGAAGGCCACAGAATTTCCGTTTTAGGGGGAATGTCAAAGAGCATTTTTGTTACTCAATGGGCTGTTCCAAATGAAAGTAAAAAAACTGAATCCCTTCATAAATGGTGCTTCCACAAGGCTGTTAGTGAAAGTTACATGCAATGGTCACTTCAAAAAATTAATTTAACTTTTTATAAGGTCCTGGGTTATGCATCCTTTCAATTAATTTAGAAACCTGAGGTAATTTACTGAAGATTTTACCTGGTATTTAAACCCCCTCAAGCACAGTTACAGGTACAGAGACAGCACACAACTTTCAATACATTTGAATGAATCCAAATGTACTCACTCTTTAGGATCCTCACTACAAGACCTTTAGAGTGAGTACAAAATAGTGTTGTTCACTTCTGCACAGATTTCGGCTTTCTGTGTGTTAGCGCTGTACTTTGTATAGAATGTCCCCAAGAATGTACAGTTTAAGCAGACGGAGGCCATATTCGCTAAAGGCCCAATAAAGATTAATCTCCCACCAAACTTCTCAGTTTGTTGTCACAGCCACTGAGCTAAGTTTTTGTTTGAAGTTATATGACTGACACAATCAATTTAAAGTCATTTTTGGTACTTTTGAACACTTTTTTGGTACTTTTGACTCTTGCTTTCGACTTGCACTACGGATAGAATGACTGAACCTCATAACAAACTTGTAAAGGCCACAGACATTCAGTCGAAATAAACCTTCATAAACGGCCCTCCTACATGGCTGATAGTGAAAGTGCAGTGGTCACTTCAAGAAATTCATTTTGCCATTTACAATAATGAGATCCTA